TAAACATTTCTCTGGAAAATTCCTCCGTTGGAGTCTGATATTTGTAATTCCTACTTCTGTCACTTACTAGTTACGTTACACTTTAGGAAGTTTATTTCCCATATTTATATATTTTAAATTTTACTGCCAAGGGAACGCAAACAATAACAAAGTGTGAAAATTTCCTGCCACCTCTCTCTCTTCCCAGAGCAACCACTCTCAACACTTTTGTAGGCTTCCTTCCAGACTTCTGTCTACATATATACAAACATTTGTTGTTGTTGTTAAGTGCCATCGAGTCGGGTCTGACTCATAGCAACCTGGTACAGGGTTTTCAAGGAGCAACTGGTGAGCTTTAACTGCCAACCTTGCAATTCAAACTGATCATGTAGTCCAGTGCATTAACCCACAGTGCCACACCAGGACTCCATATATATTACATATTTGTACATATTATAGAATTGTTGTTACATAATTTGTTGTTAAGTGCTGTCAAGTTGATTCCAACTTATAGTGACCCTGGTACAGATTTCCAAAGAGCGGCTGTTGAGTCTGAACCACCGACACTGTAGTTCACACTGAACTCACAGTCTAGTGCTTAACCTACAGTGCTACACTAGGACTTCTATTGTAGGATGGGGGCTTCAAAAAGTTTGCATAACATTTCCATTATTTTTAATTCTATTTTTAATAAACTTTTTGAAGTCCCTCTTGTGTTTATATAAATAAGATCATATCACACATCACATTTTAAAAAAATCTATGTATGTCTCTATCAGGATATATGGAGTCCTGGTGTGGCACTGTGGATTAATGCACTGGACTTCAATGCCAGTTTGAACAAGGTTGGTGGTTCAAGCTCACCAGCCATACCTCATAAACCCTGTAAAGAGGGTCACTATGGGTCGGAACCAACTCGATGGCATTTAACAACAACAACAAATCAGGATATACAGAGTTACCATGAGCTATTTAATGGTCACATTTTTCCATGAACACTTTGTAGCTCCCTCATATGCCGTAACTTACTTAATTAGTTTTCTAATTATGGAGAAAGTAATCATTTAAATTAGAAATAAATTTAAATAATGTTGCAATGAGCAAAGCATGCTTATATGCTTACTTCTGCACAACTTTTGCTCTCCAAAATTATACCAATATACATACCCATCATCGTAAAATCTAGCACTGTGGCCTGTATGTTGCTGTGATGCTGGAAGACATGCCACCAATATTTTAATTACCAGCAGGGTCACCCATGATGAACAGTTTTAAGTGGCGCTTCCTGACGAAAACCACACCAAGAATAAGAGGCAAACCACTTTTGAAGGGTTGTTGCTGTTTAAGTGCTGTGTCAAGTCAGTTCCAACTCAGAGCAAGGAGTTTCCAAGGAGTGGCTGGTGGATTTGAACCACTGCCCTTATGATGAGCAACCATGTGCTTACCCAACAGCGTCACACTAGGATTTCACTGAAAAACTGTGGGTTAATGAGCTGGATTGCAAAGTCAGTTTGAACCACAAGGTAGGCAGTTTAAGCTCATCAGACACTCCTTGAAAACCCTATATAGGGTTGGTAAGGATTAGAACCAACTCCATGGCACTTAACAACAACAGCTCTGTTAGATACAGTGTTGAAAGATGAGCCCCTGAGGTTAGAAGGCACTCAAAATAAGACTAAGAGAGTGATGCCTCCTCAAAGTAGAGTTGAGCTTCATGATGTGGATCGAGCAAAGCCTTCTGCACCTTCATTTATATCCTTGGCATTAGTGAGTTGAAATGAATGGGTATTGGCTATTTTGAATCAGAATATCGTATGATTTACTGTGCCAGGAATGTCAAACTGAAGAAGAATGGCATCACATTGCATCATCATCAAAAAGAACATTTCAAGAGCTATCTTGAAATAAAATGCTGCCAGTGATGGAATAATATCCTAATGTCCTATATAAATCTACGAGGAAAATCGTTAATACAATTGTTATTCAAATTTACACACCAACTTCCAAAACCAATGATGATGAAACTTTTCACTCTACCAAATTCTTCAGTCTGAAATTGATCAAACATGCAATCAAGATGCAATGGAAATTACTAGTGACTGGAATGCAAAAGTTAGAAACAGTATGGATCAGTAGTTGGAAAATAAGGCCTTGGTGATACAAACAAAGCTGGAGATCGCATGATAGAATTTTGCAAGACCAATGACTTATTCTTTGTAAATACCTTTTTCATGTGCAAGTTCAGGTAGAAACTGAAGAAAATTAGAACAAGTCCACAAGAGCCACACTATGGTCTTGAACATATCCCACTGAATTTGTATATATCGCATCACACGAATAAGAATTACTCTACTAAATATACACAAAAGTGTGTATAGTAATCATGAAAGGCTACAATATTATTTTACTGTTGCTACTGCATGCCCTGGAGTCAATGTTGACTCAAGGTGACACTATATAAAGTTTCCAAGGAGCAGCCCAGTGCTTAACATATGGCGCCACGCCAGGATTCCTATAGCTACAAAAACCCCAAAAATCTAACAACACCTCCAAATTCAGTTGCTTACCATATATGTTTCTTTCTGCCTTAAAGCTCAGCGTGAGTTCAGTTGTTCTTTAAGGAAATTTTCTTCCAAAAAAAGTGAGCCAGGGGTATGAGTATTTTCACAGAAGACAACAGAAAGAATTAACACCAGCCTAGAAATTACATGTCATTTACAGCCAATTGCCCATTATAATCACATAGGCCTCTTTGAATACAAGAGGGCTGGGAAGCATGGGATACCATAAGAATATTCTGTGAGAAGTAAGTAACTTTGCTATATACTAAAACTACTGGGTCATAGAGCATAAACTTTTCTACTTTACTAAATTTACTTTCCAAAGTGGTTGAAATAATTTATACTTCTATTATGACGTCCCGTGTGGCACTGTGGGAAAAAGCATTGCACTACAAGGTTGGGTTGAACCACAAGGTCAGCAGTTCAAACTCACCAGTTGCTCCTTAGAAACCCTAAACAGGGTCGCTATGAGTCGGAACCTACTTGACGGGACTTAACAACAAAAACAACTGAGACTATACAGGGTAGCACAAATAATTTAGCATTTGGGCTACTAAACCCAAAGGTTGGTGGCTAGAACCCACGCAGCGGCACCTACCTCACAAGAAAGGCCTAGTAATATACTACCAAAAAATTACAGCTATTGGAAATCCTATCAGGCACAGTGCAACTCTAAACCACAGAGGTGCTATGAGCTGGAGTTGACTGGACATCAACTGTTTTTTGGGTTTTTAAGGACTATATAACAATTCTCATTGCACCATATTCTTGCTAACATTTGATATTGTTCAACTTTTTGGTCTTTAACAATCTAAAGTCAATCTATTTGTATTGCTCTTTTCCCTGTATGTTAGCAGTGACTGTGTTTTGGTAAATACCCTTTATCTGTCAGACATTACCCAGATTAAGGAAATTCCATTCTATTCTTAGAATTTTGTTATAAATGGATGCTGAATTTTATCAAGAAAATCTACATCTGTTAACTAATCATCTAGTTTTTCTCCTTTAATAATAAAAACTGTTAAATGTGCTTTATACATATTGACTCACTTAATTCTTAAAACAAACTGGAGAAGTATTATTTATAGTCAATAAATAAGGAAACTGAAGCACAGACATTTAAGTACTTGGCCGTAATCCTACCATTAAATAATAAAGCAAGCAATCAGAGTACAAGGTCTGAGTATTTGATAATCCATTCTCTTAGGAGCAATTAAGACTTGAGCAAGTACTTTACCACTCTGTACCTCAACTTCCTCTTCTATAAAATAGGGATTGTTGTTGTTGTTGTGAAGTGCTATTTAGCCGGTTCTGACCCATAGCAACCCTATACAGGGTTTCCGAGGAGTGACTGGTGAGCTTGAACCACCAACCTTGCAGTTCAAATGGCTTTGCAGTCTGGCGCATTAATCCACAGAGCCACACCAAGACTACAGGGATAATATTATTTAATTAGAACTAGTAGTTTTGAGAATTAGAGGAATATACCTAAACTCATTAAGCATCAAGGAATGGCTGGATACTCTTAAGTGAAGAAAACTATAAGGACTTATCATGCAGTTGTTACATGATAATCTGACACTAGGGACTTCAGACATGCAGGGTGATGGTGAAGAGCAAAACAAAGAAGCACTGTAGGATGTTGAAGACGAAAATCACTGAGATATAAAAGCCAACAAAGAGAAACCATCTATGATCACCCCACTCCTCCTAATTTACCCCTTGGAAATTCCCTTTTTGTCACTGAGAACCACCAAATCTGACTTTTCCATTTGGTCTCAGAATTTGGGTTACTGTCCTGGTTTTGTTTTGCTTCTGCTTTTTTAAAAACCATTTTCAAAAGTTATTAAAGGCAAAAGTGAATTTCTGTTAGGTTCTTTAAGACACAAACAGGACGGTATAGCAGATTTTTCAGCATTACTGTACTAGTATGCGCCAGATCCATAATAATATCACCATTAGGAATGGAAACTACATTCAAAATCCATTAGATGTCTACGTGACACAGGAATCTGAGAGAGAGGTTAATCATACTATAGAGGCTTATGTGGTGACATTTTTCCTTTTTCTAATGGTTTAAAATGGAATTTTATACCAATGTTTAAAAATTAATTGGGTGTTAGTTTCAGGTAGTTAAAGGTTGTTCAGGGAGTTTTATTATACTGGTTTTGCTGTAAAAAGAGGTTCAAACTCTGCTGAAATGTTGGTGAAAACAAAGTTTCTGGTAAGCATTCAACAATCTGTGGCTGCTTATTCTTGCCTACGATTAGTATCCCTCTGAAGCAGGTTAGCATTGAAGGTGTTACGGAAAAGACTGCATGCATGCTCGCATGTTCAATTCTTTGTTTCTTCTCCTTCCCTCTCCCTCTGGACCATCTTTCTCTCTCACTCACACACACACACTGCCCCTTCTTCGTTTACTCAACTTCTTTCTTTCAGTCTGTGTAATTTGAAGCTAACTTGTACTACTGGATATCTAACTGGAGCCACAGAAACAGAATCTGTATTGTTCTTACTGCAACACAGCATGGAATTAACATTAAACTTAAATTATTACGCCTCCATCCTTTAAATTTCTATATAAAATCTCTAGCCCAAATACATTGGCAGTATTATATTTGCCCAAATGTGAAAAGGACTCCTTCCCTCTTCCATAAATCCTTTGTTCAAGAAAGGTATTGTTTATTTCGGAAAGTAATTATCTGTAACCTCCTGTGAAGAATAGTGAAGTAGTTCAAGTCAAGTTGCTCATCACCATTTATGTCTTTTACACCAGGAAGCAGCACAGTATTTTAGCCATTACAGTGTGGCCTGCACATTTAATACAAGGTACTATGGATCATTTTAGAGCTTGGATTTTGTACAATCAAGTAACGCTGGATGTATGCAAATAATTCTTCTTAGCCTGAGGTAAAACTAAGCACATTACCCACTGTTTTATGAAAAATCAATGGCAGAGATGAATAATACACTCTCAGTAATGCATGCACACACAGTAAAACGTTCACTATGGCAGTTCCCCTTATCAGAAACAATTTGAGTAATTTCTTATGTATAGTAACTTCTATATATAGAAATCGTCTACATATCACTGTGTATAACTAGTTTATGTCTGATGGTTTATTCATAAACAAAGTTGAGTTAAAAACTATCTGCACTCGGATATACTAAAACGCCCGTCTATGTCCACGGTCGATGACAACATTGGGCATTCACGTGAAATGATTCTGTCACATAGATGAGTGGATTATGTGGCAAATCATTTGCTAATCAGCCATGGCTCTGCCTATGGAATAATCCACAACAGACTTGGGTTTTAAAAATTTTGTGTGAGATAGGTACTGAAAAAACTCACAGAAGAGCATAAACAGAAGTGTTTGTACACCTGAAAACAAAACTCGGGCTGATACTCTAAGGAAGGTAAAAGATTTTTTTTAAAAATTGTTACTGGTGGCGAGGCATGGATTCGTCACTAAGGGCCTGAGAGTAAACAGTGAAGTATGGAATGGAAATATCCTCAATCGCTGACCTAGAAAAAGCTCAAAAGTCAACCATCAGCTGGAAAATTGATGCTTATTTACCGTTTTCTGGGATTCTCAAGGACCAGTACTGGAACATATCAGGAAAAAGGTTCAACAATCAACAGTGCTAGTTACAGTGATATGCTCACCCAAGAGTTGAAGCCTAAATTTTGGATTAAATGCAAAGGACTGCTGCCCAAGCACATTGTGACCTTGCATGACAATGCACACCCTCACACCTCTACCTACACTGCAAAAACTTCATTTTGAGGTGTTAAAGCATCTTCTCTATAGTCCAGATCTTAAGTCTATCAGACTTTCACCTGTCTGAAAGAATACTCATTAACAACCTGTTTGGTCCCTTTAAGGCAGCCCTTCAAGGACTAAGATTCACCTCTGCTGCAGAAATGAAGACAGCAGTGCATTTGTGCCTCGCAGCACAGCCGAAACATTTTTAAATAAGGGAATACGAAACCTTGTTGACAAACAGATGTATGTCTTTTCTAAAAGTTGATTAAGCTAAATTCTACAGCCAGAGTGCAGATAATTTTTGATTTACATTCTTAGATACATTTCATCCTAATGACTACCTAATAATATTGCTGTACCCCTGATTTTTTTAAAAAACCAGTTTCTTACTTTGTATATACAAGTTGTTTTCAGCCTTGCTATCGTAAATGATGATGCAATGAATATATTTGCAACAATCTGTTCTTTAAAAAAAGTAAAAAGATAATTTTAAAACAGTTGCAACAGTACAACAGTTGGATTTATACAAGAATGTGGAACGAGGGCTACCACTGCTGACATAAGATGGATCTTGGCTGAAAGAAGACAATGCTAGAAAGATGTTCAGCTGTCCTTTATTGACTAAGTAAAGGCTTTCGACTGTGTGAATCATAACAAGCTAAGAACAACACGGCAAAGAAAGGGTATTTCTTTCTGTTGGAGGAAGTTTAACTGTCCTCATGAGGAACCTGTATATAGAAAAAAAGCAGTCATTCAAAAAGAACAAAGGGATAATGAAAGGCTTAAAATCAGGAAAGGTGTGCACCACGGTTGTAGTCTTTCATATACTTAATCAATCTGTATACTGAGCAAATAATCCAAGAAACTGGATTATAGTAAGAACATGGACTCAGAATTGGAAAAAGGCTCAGCAACAACCTGTGATTATGAAGATGATACAACCTTGCTTGCTGAAAGCAAAGAGGGCTTAAAATCCTTATTAATAAAGACTAAAGATCACAGTCTTCAGTATAGGCTGAACCGCAATATAAAGAAAAGAAAAATCCTCACCACTGGACCAATAAAATAACATCATGATAAATGGAGCCAAGATTGAAATTGTTGAAGACTTCATTTTCCTTGGATCTACTATTAACCCTCATGGAAGCAGCCAAGAATCAAACAACGTACTGCTTTAAGCAAATCTGCAGTACAAGACCTCTTTCAAGTGTTCAAGAGCAAAAATAATGGTTTGAGGACTAAGGTGCACCTGACCTCAATCTCCTCATATGTATGTGAAAGTTGGACAATGAGTAAAAGGAAGACTGTAGAAGAACTGATGCCTTTAAGTTATGGTGCTGAAGAACAATATTAAAAGTACTATGGACTGTTAGAAGAACAAACAAGTCTGTGTTGGAGGAAGCTCAAATGAACGCTCCTTAGAAGTCAGGATGGCTATACTTAATCTCTCAATTGTTGTTATCACTAAGTGTCCTTGAGTCAATTCTGACTCACAGTGACCCTATATAGGGTTTCTGAGAAGTGACTGGGGAGTGTGAATCGCTGACCTGGCATTTCACACAGACCTTGAGGTCAAGTGCTTATCTTATGGTGCTACTCCAGGTCTCCATATTTTGGACACATTATCAGGAGGGAAAGGAGCTCTGGTAGCGTAGTGGTTACAAATCAGGCTGTGAACCTTAAGGCCAGCAGTTCAAAACTACCAGCCACTCCGCGGGAGAAAGATGAGGCGTTCAACTCCCGTAAAGATTTACAGCCTCGGAAACACTGTACAGGGTCACTATGGGTCGGAACTGACTCGACGGCACTTAACAACAACATCAGGAAGGAACGAACAGTCCCTGAGAAGGATTAGCAAAAAATAGGAAGATCCCCAAGGAGATAGAGTGGCACAGTGGCAGCATTAATGGACTCAAGCATAAAAACTATTGTGAGGACGGCTCAGGACTAGGCAATGTTTCATTCTGTTGTACAGATGACACAATCTTGCTTGCTGGAAGTGAAAAGGACTTAAAATACTTGCTGATGAAGATCAAAGCCCACAATCTTCACTATGGGTTGCACCTCACAACTGGACCAATAAACAACATACATATCAATGGAGAAAACACTGAAGTTGTCAAAAACTTCATTGTGGTTGGATCCACTATCAACACTCATGAAAGCAGCAGTCAAGAAATCAATGTATTGCTTTAGGCAAATCTGCTGCACAAGACCTCTTTAAAGTGTTAAAGAGCAAAGATGTCAGTTTGAAGAATAAGTGTGCCTTAACCAAGCCATGATCTTGATACAATCAAGGAGGAAGATTCATTAACAACCTGCAATATGCAGATAATTCAACCTTGCTTGATGAAAGTGAAGAGGACTTAAAACATTTACTGATGAAGATCAAAGAGCACAGCCTTCCGTATGGATTACATCTCAATGTAAAGAAAACAAAAATCCTCACCACTGGACCAATAAACAACATTCTTATCAATGGAGAAAAGACTGAAGTTGTCAAGGACTTCATTCTTCTTGGATCAACTATCAACACTCAAGGAAGCAGCAGTCAAGAGATCAGAGGACATACTGCATTAGGCAAATCTGCTGCACAGGAACTTTTTAAAGTGTTGAAGAGCAAAGATGTCAGCTTGAGGACTAAGGTGCGCCTGACCCAAGCCATGGTATTTTCAATAACCTCATAAGCATGCGAAAGCTGGACAGTGAATAAGGAAGATTGTAGAAGAATTGATGCCTTTGAATTATGGTGTTGGAGGAGAATACTAAAAGTGCCATGGACTGCCAAAATAACCAATAGATCTGTTTTGGAAGAATTGCAGCCAGAGTGCTCGTTGGAGGCCAAGATGGCCAAACTTCGTCTCTCACACTTTGGACATACTGTCAGGAGGGAACAGTCACTAGAGAAGGATAACAGTCACTAGAGAAGGATGTTTGGTAAGATGGAGGGTCAGAGAAAAAGAGAAAGATCCCCAACGAGATGGATCAGCCAGGTGGCAGTATTCAATGGACTCAAGTGTGGCAACAGTAGTGAGGTTGGCCCAGGATCGGACATTGTTTCGTTCTGCTGGGCATAAGGTCACTATGAGTCGGTGCTGACTCGATGGCACCTAACAACAACAAGCTATGATATTTGCAGTGATTGAAAAGTTGTACAATGAATAAGGAAGACTGTAAAAGAATGAATCAGTGCATCTGAATTACAGTGTTGGCAAAGAATACTGAAAATACCATGGACTGCCAGAAGAACACACAAATCTGATTTGGAAGAATACAGCCAGAATGCACCTTAAAACTGAGGATGATGAGACTTTGTTGCCAAGAGGGACAGTCCCTGGAAAAGACATTATGGTTGAAAAAGTGGAGGGTCAGCAAAAAAGAGGAAGATGGATTGATACAGTGGTAGCAACAACAGGTTCAGTATAACAATTGTAAGAACAGTGCAGAACCTCTCTGGATACTCCATCGCTCCACGTCATCATCTCTGCCTCCATTTCAGGCATCACTGCTTCTCTGGGTAGGGTCCCGCTCTCTGCTCTTCTCCCTTGATGGTCCTAGGGACCTCCGTTCCTAGACTGAAAAGTTAATCACTCCCCACCTTGCTATAAAACATCTACCTTTACATTTCTGACCCTCACAATCAGTCCTGATAACAATTATTCACTATTGGATCTATCACAAGAGACCTGTCTGCATTTCATTGCATTAGCCCTGCCTAGTCAGACTGAGTACTACTCACTGGAGA